GAACTGAAAACAAGATTGACCACTGCACCGGTATTGACGTTGCCCACAGGTATGGAAAAATTTTGTGATCTTCAGTGATGCATCCTATAAAGGTTTGGGTTATGCATTAATGCAGAATGGAAGGGTGATTGCCTACGCCTCTCTGCAGTTGAGGCCACATGAGAAAAACTACCCAACACATGATTTAGAACTGGCCGCAGTCGTATTTGCTTTGAAAATCTGGCAGCATTACTTGTATGGGGCAAAATGCGAAGTTTACACAGATCACAAAAGCCTAAAGTACTTCTTCACTCAGAAAGAGTTGAATATGTGGCAGAGGAGATGGCTTGAATTGATAAAAGATTATGACCTTCAAATCCAGTATCACCCTGGGAAAGCTAATACAGTTGCTGATGCCTTGAGCTGAAAATCGATAGGGAATTTGGCTTGCTTGCTTACCGAACATAAAGAGATTTTGCAAGATTTTGAGAAGTCCAGGATTGAAGTGATATTGTGTGAACAGGGCGGATTGATAGCCGTTATTTCAGCCGAACCAGCGATCATTGAGGAGATTAAACAGAAACAAAAAAAAAGGATGAATTCCTCAAGAAAGTGTTTGATGAATTTGAGACAAGTCCGAAAGTAGAATTCAGCATTGGAAGCAAAGTGTTAAGATTTCGAAACCGAATGTGTGTCCCAGATATTCCGGAACTAAAGAAAAGTGTTCTAGATGAAGCTCACAAGTCAGTATTTGCTATGCATCCGGGTAATAACAAAATGTATCGGGATTTGAAACAAAGCTATTGGTGGCCTAAAATGAAGAAAGAAATTGCAGAATATGTGTCCAAGTGCCTTCAATGTCAGCAAGTTAAAGCTGAACATCAGAAACCAGGCGGTCTAATTCAACCTCTCCCTATTCTAGAATGAAAGTGGGAACATGTGACTATGGACTTCATTGTTGGTCTACCTCAAACTTCTCGAGGTATGGATTCTATTTGGGTTGTAATTGATAGATTGACTAAGTCTGCACATTTTCTGCCTATTAGAACTACATTTGATGCTTATAGACTGGCTACTATATATGTTGATGAGATTGTCCGTTTACACGGAGTTCCAATATCTATTATGTCGGATAGAGATCCGAAATTTGTATCCAAATTGTGGAATAGCCTACAAAGAGCAATGGGAATAGAATTGAGATTCAGTACTACATTCCATCTACAAACAGATGGGCAATCAGAACGAACCATACAGACATTAGAGGACATGCTCAGAATATGTGCTTTAGATTTTCAAGGGAGTTGGGAAGATTATTTGCCACTGGCAGAGTTTGCATACAATAACAGCTTCCACTCCAGTATCGGTATGGCACCATACGAGGCTTTGTATGGTAGACGGTCTAGATCGCCAATTTGTTGGACAAAAATCGGGAATAGGGCTCTACTGGCCCCTGAAATTGTGCAAGATACTTCTGAGAATATCAAAACTATTCAGCAAAGGCTCAAGACAACTCAGAGTCGGCAAAAGAACTATGCAGATGTTCAAAGAAGATCTCTTGAGTATGAGGTTGGTGACCACGTGTTTATTCGCGTGACCCTGATGAAAGGCCAAGTAAGATTTGGTAAGAAAGGGAACATTGGGATTTTGGAAAAACTTGGTCCAGTTGCTTATAGAGTTGTTTTGCCACCGGGATTCAAGCAAATCCATAATGTGTTTCATGTGTTGATGTTGAGGGGTTATCTTTGGGATCCGTTTCATGTGATTGATTACCACCAGATAGCCCTCGATGAAAATATGGAATACGCAGAATGGCTGGGGCGAATCATTGACCGACAAGTGAAACGGTTAAGAAGCAAGTCCATCCCGATGGTGAAAGTGGAATGGAAAGAACACTATGGGATGGACGTTACATGGGAAAAAGAGGATGAAATGCGACTGCGCTATCCACATTTGTTTTCCGACGAAGGTAAAATAAGTTTGGAGGACCAAACTTCCTAAAGGGGGGAAGACTGTGATAACCCTGGTCCGTATTATGCTAATTAATCTTAATTATGATTGTGATTATGTGTTTGATATGATTTTGAGTGCCATTTATATAAATATATGTGGTTTTGAATTTCTATCTGTTCGCCGTAGGAAAATCTGTTTGATTATCTGCTTTAGAATTTAAATTGAAGACCTTACCGGCCACAGAACCCGAAATTGATTATGCCATTGTGATTAGTGCAATTTTTAGAGCCTACGGTGAAATTTAGTTGAAAACTTATTCGGATCAAAATAATTAGATTCAGAGCGATTAATTTAAGCTCCAATATTTGGCCTAATTAAATTTGCTTAGGAAAGCTTATATAAAGGGCCTCATTACACTCAATTCCTTCTCTTGAATTCATTTTGGCTAAAAATCACTCTAGAGAGAGAGTGTGTGCTGGTTAGAGAGAGAGAGAGGGAGCTCAAGTTGAAGAATTAGTCAAGAAGCTTGAAGATCTTAGAGATCAATTCAAGAATTAACCATCATTTGGGTGATTAGAGCCTCTAGGTAAGCACTTGAGTGTGAATTCATGAGTATAAGTTTGTAAGTTTGTGTATTCAAGCTAGTTGGGTGATCAAGAACATAAATTGAGATGAAATTGAAGGATTGGAAGCTTTTATGTACATGCATGCAAAGAATTGCTATGAATTTGCATATTTGAGCATGAATCATGTTAAACAAGGAGAATTGGGCACCAAATCTCTCATGCATGCATAATCTACATGAGTTTCATGATTATAAGTGCCATTTGTACTAGAATTGGAGTCAAAATTGACATGCATGTTTGATTAATGGAGATATGAAAATTATATGAAGTTTGAATGCATGGGTTTCAACCATACAAGAGAAATGTTGATTAATTTGAGAGTATGAATATGGATTTTGAATAATTGGCCTCGCATTGCTTACATCCTTATGTTATATATTGTGTTTCCACGTTTTTGGACCAAAAACGTGAATGTTGGACCTTTGAATATCAAGGTTGCACTTGAAGAACAATTCTGGAAAACCCAAAAATTGGCATGTCTGCTCGAGCCGGAAAAGCGCCGCTCGAGCGTGAAATGCTAGTTCCCAGAACTTTTGTAGACATGGATGTCCGCTCGAGCAGGGAGATTCACGCTCGAGCAGGGAGCCATGTACTGTGACTTTCAGCTCGAGCGCCCGACTTCACGCTCGAGTGTGAAAATAAGGCAACCAGTACTTTTGCAGGCCATGGGGGTCCGCTCGAGCAGCGAAATCCACGCTCAGGCGAGGAGCCCTGTTTTAGAATATTTGTAAAGATGTTTGTGTTTCATTTTCCATTCTCTTTCATTTTTAAGTACTCTTAGGCATATATTAAGCATTGTAAATGAGTTAAAAGAATAAGAAAGAAGCCTAAGAGGAATGTATGAATTAAGAACTGATTGAATCGTTTGTGACCCATTATGTTCACGAAATGTGTAAGGTCAAGGACGAGAGCAAATCCACCGGCAGATCACTGTGAGTAATATCTTAGTAAAGATATTTGAAGCATGTTATTTGTCCAATTGCTTATTTCCATATCAGTCTTATAAGTTTGTTAAACAGAATTATGAACAAATATTTGTTATGCCATATGATTGGGCCAAAGGCCGTCAGACACCATTTGATATGAATGTTTGGGCCAAAGGCCGTTTGACATGAATGAAATGGGCCAAAGGCCATTTGACATCAATGAAATAGGCCAAAAGCCGTTTAACATGAATGATTGGGCCAAAGGCCGTCGGATATGAACGATTAGGCCAAAGGCCGCTGGACATGAATAAATGGGCCGAAGGCCGTCGGATATGAGTGAATTGGGCCCAAGGCCGTTTGATACGTTTGGATCTTAGTCGTTTGATACATTAGATTGAAACATGAATTGGGCCCAAGGCCGTTTGATGTAGCTATTTCAAAGTTCGTTCATGTATCTCTTTTTACTTGATATTATTCACTGGGCTTTCGCTCACTCTCATTCATGTGTCTGTAGATGAGCCAAGAGACGTCCAAACCCAGCCTCAGTGAAGTGTGTGAGAAACGGTCAAAGTTTTGAAGAGTCAGCCCAAACGTCTCACGCACGAGACTTGTCTTCGCCTCTTTTGTTCTTTTTGCTATAATTTTGCTATATTGGTGAAACATTGGATCATTTTTGTATATATGCTTTGGGTTTGACTGACTTAGATGTGAATGATCCTGTATGTATAGAACTTGCGTTATTTTCCTTTTTGACGTGAGTTATTAACGAATAAATGTGAAATGTTATGATGTGCCATGTAAGCATGGCTCTATGGACAAAATTTTTAGTTGCTTCCGTTTGGCCCCCTTAACTCTGTTAGAATATATTTTATTTAGTTTGAGGCCGTAAGTAATCTCTTGATTACTAGCCGATTATGACCTTAATCCCATGGGAGCTGGTTTGGGTCATGACACATATTCTGCAATTTCCCTCTTCATATCCGGCCACCAAAAATTCTACTTCAAGTTGTGGTTACATTTTTGTGCTACCAAGATGCATCGCAAAATTGGAACTATGCGCTTCCTTCATGATTCTCTTCTTGATTTTTGGCACGTTAGGAACACACAACCTACCCTGGAATTTCAATACTGAATTTTCAGTTATAAACCCGGGCCTTGTTTTCATTTCTAGTTCATCACAAATCTTTTGTAGAAATGTATCTTCTAGTTACCGTTGTTTAATTTCTTCCATAACTGCTGGTTGGGCTGCTATCGCTGCTACTGTTGCATTTTAATCATGTAACGCAATTCCCGCATCTGTTCTTTCCAAGTCATGTTGTAACTCCTTCTGCCTCGTGAGCAGATTTGCCAAACTCCCCGTACTCTTTCGGCTGAGGGCATCTATGACTATATTAGTTTTACCGAGGTGGTACCGAATTTGTAGATCATAATCTTTAATAAGCTCTAACCACCAACTCTGATGCATATTCAATTCTTTTTAAGTGAAAAAGTACTTTAGACTCTTATGATCGGTATAAACCTCACATCTAGCCCCATACAGATAGTGATGCCATATTTTCAAAGCAAAAACCACTGCAGCTAGCTCAAGGTCATGTGTGGGGTAGTTCCTTTCATGGGGTTTAAGTTGACGAGAGGCATATGCAATGACCCTCCTATTTTGCATAAGTACACAGCCCAAACCTTTATGAGAAGCGTCACTATAAATCTCAAATCCTTCGTTACCGGATGGTAAGGCTAGAACAGGTGTTGTAGTTAACCTTGTCTTTAGTTCCTGAAAAGCAGATTCCCATTGCTCCGACCATTCAAACAAAATACCTTTTTGGGTTAACTGAGTAAGCGGTATCACAATTTTGGAAAAGTCCTTAACAAACCGTCGGTAGTATCCGGCCAAACCCAAGAAACTAGGCACTTCTGACACATTAGTAGGCGTCGGCCAATTCACAATAGCTTCAATCTTGTGTGGATCAACGGCAATACCCTCCTTCGTCACCACATGTCCCAAAAATCCTACTTCATGTAACCAAAATTCACATTTCTTTAATTTTGCATACAGTTTCTTATCCCAAAGAGTCTGAAGAATTATCCGTAGATGATTCTCATGAGCTGCCATACTTGTTGAGTAAATGAGGATATCATCAATAAATACAACCATAAAGTCATCCAGGTAGGATTTAAAAACTCAGTTCATTAAATCCATGAAGGCCACTGGTGCATTAGTGACCCAAAATGGCATAACTAGAAATTCATAATGTCCATAACAAGTCCAGAAAGTAGTTTTCCCAATATCTTCAGCTTTAACCTTTAGTTGGTGATAACCCCCACCGCAAATCTATCTTAGAAAAGACTTGTGCACCCTGTAATTGATCAAACAGATCATCGATCCTGGGCAAAGGATATTTATTCTTTATAGTTACTTTATTGAGCTCTCTATAATCTATACACAACCGAAGGGTCCCATCTTTCTTCTTCACAAAAAGGACTGGTGCCCCTCAAAGGAGAAGTACTTGGACGAATAAATCCTTTGTCAAGGAGGTCTTGCAGTTGGACCTTCAACTCTTTCACTTCAGTGGGAGATATTTTATAAGGGGTCTTAGAAATGGGCTGAGTTCCTGGCACAATATCAATTGTAAACTCGATTTCACAATCCACTAACTCTCCTGGTAACTCGTCTGGAAAAACATCCGGAAAATCCCGCACAATTGGAATTGCATCAATGCCCCCATTCACTGGTTGTTCATCCAAAATACTACACAAATACCCTTGACTACCCTTTTGTAGTAACTTACACGCCTTTATTGCAGAAATCAGATAGGGTGGGCAAACTACCCTCTAGCCCTTAAAAATAAACTCTGATTGTCCTGGGAGTTAGAAAATAACTTGCTTCGTGACACAATCTATAATCGCGTGATACTTGCTTAACCAATCCATCCCCAAAATTATGTCAAAATAGGCCATATCAAGAGGCAACAAGTTGGCATCTGCCCAAACATCCCCGATCAGAATTTCACATGCAAAATAAATAGATGCATATACTATGGACTCCCCCGTTGGTGAGGACATACACAAAACATAAGGTAGTGATTCCATTGGCCTATTTAAATGACTAGCAAATGCTTTTGATACAAAGGAATGGGTAAAGCCCAAGTCAAATAACACATAGACAGAATGACCATTAACAGAAAATGTACCTGATACCACAGCCTCGGTATTTTGCACATTGCCCGGAATTAGCGCAAACACCCTTCCTTGTTTGGCGGTATCTTTAGCGTTAGTGGGTTTCGTAGCTGCCTTTGTAGTTGGGGGAGGGGTTGATTCAGTTGAACTTGCAATGGTTTTATTCCCATTTTGTCGATTCTTTTGCAGACATTCTCTGGCCAAATGACCTGTCTTTCCACACTTGAAGCATGCCCCTGTTACTCGGTAATAAATCCCACAGTGTCTCTTTCCACAATCTGGGCAAATTGGTGCAGAGTCACGGGTAGGGGCAAAAGTACTAGAAGTTCCTGAATTCAACTTCTTACTTGGCGGTGTCACTGAGCCCCTTGAGGTTTGAATATTCTGTCTTTTCCCTCTCCATTCCGAGACCTAGCTTTGAGCGACAACATTACCTTCAGCAATCACTGCCATTTCCAACACATCAACATACGTGGGTAGTTTCAATACATTAATTTGGTCGAGAATAGCAGTCCGTAACCCACCTTCAAACTTTCTTGCCTTCTTGTAGTCCGTATTCACCATATGTGGTGTGAAATGGGCCAATTTAGCGAAACGGGCCAATTTAGCAAATTGAGCCTCATACTCTACAACAATCTTGTTCCCCTGTCTCGAGGTCTCAAACTCAGTCACCTTCTTATCTCGCATACTTTGAGGAAAATACTTGTCATAGAATAGCTCCAAAAATCTATCCCATGTTAATCCTTGATGTACAGTTCTCATGAGCATCCACCACCTCCGTGCTTTGTTTTCGAGAGTGAAGGTAGCAAGTCGTACTCTTTGGGCTTCAGTACAAGGAAAAACCTCGAATAACTTTTCGATACCCAACACCCACGTTTCGGCTTTCATTGGCTCAATTCCTCCCTTGAACGAAGGCGGCTTCATCTTTTTGAATTCCTTCGTGAGTGTAATTATCCGATCCTCAACTTGATAATCTTGTATCCCTGGCGGTGGTACAGGCAAGGGTGGTGGTGGTCGTTGTTGTTGCTACTATTGTTGCCTCAAAGTTTCTATCATCTCCATAATCATCATTTCCATTCTATCCAACCGTATGGCGGTAGTATCTTCCGAATCATCTGTTCTGGTTCTCACCATGATCTACATAATGATTAGTTATAATACATACAGAATGCACAAGTAGACATGGATCATGATCATTACCAATGTATATATATATCCATGATTATTGTATATGCACCAAAAGTCACATGCATGTGTAACTTTAGTCTTTACTAGACACTCTAAAGCTCAATGAACTCGTGCATGAGATAGCAACTCGTGCTCTAATACCAACTATCACGACCCAAACCTACCCCTGGAAATTTGGACATGACCGGCCTAACCTTAGGCCTCAATTTAGAAACATCTTAAAGTTTACTCAATAACGGGGCCTGAACGGAAGCAAAATAATAGAAGGATAAAACATTCATTGAGCTGTGTCTAAATGCCATTACTATACACATATAACATCCTACGCACCATTCACATTACTGAGTAAAAAGGAACCAACCCATCATGTTTAGTGTTGTCAACATTTACATACATATCTATTCTTCCCAATTATAACAAAACATGCTATTAAAGGGCTTTCCAACATAAAGCAAAGAGTCACTTCGGGTGACTCAGCAAACGGGTTCAGCTACAGGCTTCTGAGCTGAACTAGGGTTGACCCGCAAGCTGGTTACCTACAAAACATTCAGAAAAGTAGAGTAAGCAAGGCTCGGTGAATGATAGTAGTACAAATAAATTAAAGGTACGAACATGGGTTAACGGTGCGTATTCACCATTCATAATTTCACTCATTTTTCCTTTTCTGAATGGCCTCGGGCCCACATAAGACAGAACGGCCTTAGGCCCAATAGAATGTAGAACAGCCTTAGGCCCATTATAATAGTAGAACGGCCTTAGGCCCAACAAAATACAAAATAGCCTCAGGCCCATCATATTAAGAAAACGGCCTTGGGCCCATCGTATTAGCAAACAGAACGACCTCAAATACATATTTCACATGTCAAAGTTCAAACATATATTAGACATATCGCATATAACATAAGGTACTCACAAAAGTGAATAAGATCTTAAATAACATATATAAACACAAAACGTGAACAAAGCATAACGTTACGCTACTATCACTCACTGTGATACGGGTGAACGTTGGCCCCCTCCTGTGGATGCCCTACACATAACACATAAATCGTAAGCACATCATTATTCTTAGTTCCTTTCGATTCTCAATTATTCGATTCGTTACGTTTCATGTAATTAAATACATTATAGGAACATCGAACGAACATAGCAATACATTCAAAGGGTCAAGAAGAGCAAAAGAAAGTTTCAAAATTTTCCAACTTGGGCCACACGTGCAGAAGTCCTCACCGCACGTGCAGGTAGGTGCACCACACGTGCAGGTAGCTGCACTGCACGTGCCTTTTTAGCAGTGTAGTTCGACCATTCTCTCCTGTTTTTTGCACATGCGGCTGAGAGCCCCGCACGTGCGGCCATGCCTTCCGCACGTGCGGCCATGGGCCCCGCACGTGCGGTCGTTTGCTCTATTTTGGCAGTTCGAAACCTAGACAAAACTCAATTGACCAAACCCATTACAAGGTATAAGCTAGGGCAAATTAGCTCAATATCACGGCATACTGTCATAAGGAACATGAATCATAAACATAATCAATCCATACTCCTCTTAAATTTATATATATACATCTCAAATTCTTTATATTTCAACCATGCTTGGTTTATCATAATATATATCTCTATAAACATCAAGATGTATAAGTGAGCTTAAAATGTGTAGAACCAAAGAAACATAGCTCAAAACAACCTCCAAACCCAAGGATCATCTACCAAAGCAACCAAATTCCATAAGCAAGGCTTTTGTTGTAACTCTAACTTACATGAATGTAAAGATTTCCTTCCCAAATCAAATAGAGAGAGAGATTAGGATGTTCTAGTTAGATTGTACATACCTTGAACTCTAGCCTCAAACCCTATTTTAATTCTTTCAATCTTCCCCCTTGATGAGCCTCTCTTCTTCCCTCTTCTTTCTCTCTTTCTTGGGTGTTCTCTAGAATTCCCCACTCAAAATATATAAGGAGATGAGTTCATAAAGAGACTTATATAACATATAAATAAGCATTTAACTTCAGACTTGCCAAACGAGCCTTATCGAATCAAACAAAATAAATTTTCAATTAAACCTCGCAAGTGGCTTTAAAAATTCCCACTAGCATGTTCACATACTCAATTTCAGTTTATCGCGCCTCTACGGCTTAAATTTCCAAGTTAACATTTTAATTTTAACAGATATATTCCAATAATCAACAGATAGAAAAACATGGTCAAACAATTCACACATGTAAGCATAACTTTGCATGTAATTTCACATTAAACACGTAATTTCTCATAGAACTAGGGACGTAAAGCATATAGGAGGGTCGTATGATATAAATTCTTAGATAAAATGTTGTAAATTATATAGAAATGTACTTGAAATTGAATAATATTTAGAAAGAAAAATTTGAAATTTTATCTCTAATCAATGTTAGGTTGTAAATTTTTATGTTCTAACAAATGTGCATTTCTTATTCTTCAAACATTGTAAAATATTTGAGGATCCAAGTGTCTAAATTTGGTACAAGTATCAAACACAAATTCCACACCCTTATCCTTGTCTTATCCGGTGGACATGGTACATTGGGAGAAACAAACGAGTCCACATAGCGTAGCTTGAGTCTACGTCTACATCCTGAAATGCTACTCACCATGTTGTCCCAAACACTTTGTTTGTGCAAGTTAATCAACTATATTACTTGTATGATGTTTGATAGTAAACCCATTTGTCACAACACTCCTTACAAGTCTATATTGGTTGTCAATCATTTGTCCAAT